CTGGTTTCATAAACGTGGATCGATATTTCAGGGTACGTGAGAAATTTTTGGGGGAAAGCTGGTCATTTGCTACGTCGAGTTTAGTTGTTTTTGAAAGGCTGAAATAATTCGTGATGACACCCTGTGAGGTTTTACTGATTAGTTTGGAGTTTCAATTCAAATTATAATATTTATTGAAAATTTTCAGACATCTGTAGACTGGGTTTACGCTATTGGAGATGTCGTCGCGGCTCCGTTGCCGTTGTGGGACATTGATTCAGTCAACATTCAACATTTCCAAACCGCGCAAACCCATGGTTAGCTCTCGCGTAGTCAGGTTTCTTTGCTGGTACTAGTAGTAAGAGCAATTTTAGGGCAACTACTGGGATACTCAATCGTAGGCCGTCCATTCCCGCATGAAGTTATACCCTTCTTCTGGACAACGTTTTTCTCTGAAATTGGATTGCGATATGCAGGTGAATTTTTGAAATATTGCTGCAGGGGTGGAGAAATTTAGTGGTATATTGGTATCTCATTATATTAGGTCGTGAAGAAAGTTCTTGCGTTTTTTGACGCCCATTTTTCAAATGCTCGCTGCGATGTTATTTGCTATTAGATTTTTTGCAAGTTTTATACCGTTTTGAAGCGCATTTTTTGCTCTATTCAAATATATAATTGGTTTTGTCCTGGAGTGATTCGTGGTGTTTTGTAGAAGGTCGAAATCAGCATGGACAAGCGACAGTTTTGCACGATTTATCTTTTCCAATTCAAATTAGGCAGGAGTGCGACTGAAACGGCCCGGGATATCAACGATGCCCTTGGTGTAGGTACGACGAATCGACGTAGAGCACAGTGATGTTTAGAAAAATTCCGTATCCGTAATGAGAGCCTGGAAGATGATGAGCGTGGTGGGCGGTCTTCCGCCATTGACACGAACAATTGAGAACGTTAGTGGAAGAAAATCCACATACAACGCTGTAGGATATTGGCTCAAGATTGAATGTTTCCAGCAAGACGGTTGGCACCCACATGTAGGAGATCGGGAAGCCGAAGAAGCTTGATAAGTGGGTGCCGCATGAGTTGACTCAGCACCAGAAAGACCTCCACTTCGAGCTCGCCTCCACCTTGCTTCTGCGCAACAGGAACGATCCATTTTTAGACCGTATTGTGACGTGCGATGAGAAATGGATTCTGTACGACAACCGGCGACGATCAAGCCAGTGGCTGTACAAGGATCAAGCCTCACGACATTTTCCCAAGCCGAAGCAGCATGGAAAGAAGGTTATGGTGATGTTTAGTGGTCTGCAGCCGGGCTGATCCCCCACAGCTTCTTGGATCCGGATGAAACCGTTACAGCCGAAAAGTACTGTCAAGAAATTGACGAAATGTATCGAAAATTCCAGCTCATGAGCCCGGCACTGGTGAATAGGAAGGGGCCAATTCTACTCCACGACAGCGCACGGGCCCACGTCGCACAACTTACCCTGAGAAAACTGATGGAGCTAGGCTATGAAACTCTACCCCATTCACCACATTCCCCAGACCTTGATCCCTTAGACTACCATTTCTTTAAACATCTCGACGGCTTTTTTAAGGAGAATTGCTCCAAAACCCAACATGATGCTGCCGCGGCATTCGACGATTTCATCGCCTTTAGATCTCCGGACTTCTATGCGAATAAGATAAACAAACTTGCTTTTCGTTTACAAAGGTGTGGCGATAGTAATGTTTGTTATTTCGACTGATGAACTTTTGTTTAAGCCGAGATATGTGCATTTGAAGTTTGAGGCGCAAAAACGCAAGAAGTTTCTTCACGACCTAATAGTTACGACAGCCATTTAGACATTACAGTTTTCCTTTGACCGTTTAAAAATATTTTGGCTACAAACGATTACGTGTGGGAGGTTTTGCAGTCATGTGTCATTGTTAAGGATGCTCTGAAGGAGCGCAGCACACCATCGTCCACGGTAGCCTTGCCGAGCTCAATTTTGCAAAATATTACTTGAAGTAAGTTATTTGCCACTTACATATTTGCTTGCTATTTCCATAGAAACCTTGGTATTTACTTTTTTTCTTCCAAGAAGGAACTAAGTAGTACATAGCTTTCCAACTGTTTGTAACATCAACTATAACATCTTATAAAGGACAATTATACCATAGAACCCGGTTTTAATAGTTGTTATATATACTACTTTTCAGGGACGACGTCGTTGTAGCGGTTGCCAGTGCAGGTCCCATACCAACTGCTATACAATTTGTGGAATTATTCAAAAGAAAAATCACTGTTACTCGTGAAGATGTGGAAAAGTAAGTTTCCTTCGGTAAATAAACTTAATGCTATCAGTTTTGTTCCACCAGTTACTTTCACATATCGATGCACCACAAAGTCCCCTCTACCTACTCTATGTAAAGGCAGAATCGACTTTACGCGTCTATGATCGATTATCCTTTCCTTGTTCTTGGTGTCCCAGATGTTTTTTCCTTGGTGACTACAACCGTGAAAATTAATGTATTGAGTCCTTTTCTATCATTCTCCTCCCCTTTTTTTTTGTTCACATCAGTGTATATTATTCATTGCTTCAGGAACACGAGCAACGACTGGATGACGCTTATTGACGAGTAATAGTTTTAAGCTTCTGTTTCTGTGTGATGTTTGAATGCATTGATGTATGAACTAATAAAGATAATGCTTCTCACCGAGTGATGTTCACATTCGCTACTCAGAAGAAACTGTAGCTAATTTTACTGATCTTCATAAATTTGTCGTACCAATGCAACCCTAATTGAAGCTTCTAGGGTTTTCCTTGCTGAGGTGGAAAAGGAATTATTAAAAAGAGATTTTTTCCTCTGACGAGTTGGTGACTGTCGATCAATCGGAAAGTTGAGCACGTGGACTTTTTAAAGCCTCTACTTTTAACTGAAACCACTATTAGACCCATC